GCGCCCTCATTCTCCTTCCTCTTTGGGGTGGGAGTCTTCCCCTTGGCCCCCACCATCTCATCTTCGACTCGAAAATACTTGTTTATATGTGCCATCAATTCCCCTATATCTTTCGACATTTTCTTGGTCAAGGACCGGTAGAGATCGATGTCTCGATAGAGGCCAAGTCTAAAAAAGGCAGCCGCCATAACCTCTGAATATCCCTCCACCTAATTTACCTCATCCTAGTAGCGAGTGGCATATTGACAGAGGGTTTCTCCTTCCTTCCACCTCAAGTTCAATAGTGATCTGACGTCCTTAGGTTGCTTGTTCCCTGTGATGAATCGAGTAGAGAATTGCTTGGTTAGTTCCTTTCAAGACCCTATGATGTTGGGCGGAAGGGTTTCAAACCATTTCATGTTAGAGTCTCCCAGGCTCATTGAGAATACTCGGCATAGTAGTTGGTGATCTGAGTGGTATAAGGACATCATTTGCTTATATTGCTTGAGGTGGGCTTCTGGGTGGGCTCGTCCGTCCGTCATATACCTTAAACCTTGGTACTATAAATTTTTTTGGTACTTCCATCTCCAGAATACTCCTTGTGAAGAGAGATTGAATACCTTCGTTGTTCATGTCATCTTCCTGTGGGGTCTTATCTCCCGCTCTGGAGTCCAGCCAGGCTCTGAGGTCATTCCCCTGTTCGGGGGGCATGCCTTCGTATCCTCGACGCCGACCGACATAATCCCTCATCCCTTTGTGTCATGTCAGACAGAGAAGGTCGACCCTTCCTCGAACTCCTCCATGCCCCCTCGCCTGGACAGTCCTCGATGGAGGTCATTCCAACCCAATGGCCTTGCCCTCTTGACTGGAACCTCTGGGAGACGCCCATCGGCCCTCGGGCTTTTTGGGTCCTCGGAGCCTCCTACTCTGCTACTTATGCAATTTCTCAGATCCTCAGGTCCTACCTCCATGAAAGATAGTTCCCTAGACCGCGACAGGTCTCGAAAGCCACCACCGGAGAACGCATATTCATCAAGTCAATTTAGGATATTCACGTTGTCCTTCTCTAACTACCGTAACCGATCTCTGAACTTTTCCTTGATTACCTCAGCCAATTGATAGGCCAGTGGGGCGGATCCCCCAGACCCGATACCCATACTAATTTGGCGGGTTTACTCCCTTGAGTGAACGGAATGTCCCTTGTTGACACTCTCAACGTGGTCCTTCGTTTTTGAAATAGAGGGAGTCGAAAAATCAATATTTCTTTGTTGATGACCCTTATTTTTTGTCGAGTATTCACCATAGTCGCTATTCTTTGAAAAATCTAATCATTTCTCACAGACGGCACCAGATTGTGCACGGTAATTTTCGCACAATAGATGAAATAGAAACATATTCTCTTCCCAGATGAACTCATTCGTTAAGTAGGTGATGGATCACGTAGCAAGGGATGAGTTGAGAGGGTTAAAAGGGGCCTAAGGAGTGGTGATGAATTGCCCCAGGGGCTATCTAACCGGTCCTGGTGAGTTATAGGATGCTCTTGGCACACAGAAAAATAAGTCAGAAGGGTGCCAGAGTATTTTTCGGCGTATCCTCTCTAACAATCAAATTAGTTCTTTGAGAAAAGAAAAGAAGAAAATACTATATTGCTCTTAAGGGGTGAATTTTTTCAAAAGTGAGTCCCCATGGCCTCCCAGTCCACACTCCATTTCCACCACCTGCTGGTCCCACAACAGACCCACCTCTCCCAGACCCTTCACTTGTTTCCACTCTTGTAGACCCTAGACCCTGACCACTCAGTTGGTGTGGTAGCCTATACGCGCCACCACTCTGACCCCTTTCAACGGGCCAATGACCCTGCTACTAACCACCGATCTGGGTAGGAACTCCACTCCCTCCTCTTCTACCAACCCCCTCTCGTCTTCTAGCAACACCACCACCTCCTTGATATTGACCCTCCTGATGGTACTGGTGACATGGGTAATTCCCACCTCTACCACCATGATTTCCTCCATCACCGTCGCCACGACCACGGCCAGAGCCACCATTTCCACAGTTGTCACTACCTTTTTCCATTGATTCAGCAAAAACAAAAGATTTTCTTCAGTTCTTTCACTAGTCAAGTAATATAGGTCAACGTTGGCGTGAAATGACGAAAATGGATTTTCGTGGTGACCAAGTATGTAACACTATCAGTGTCTATCGAAGTGTCATTTGGGAGAATCTAGGGAATTCCAGAAGATTCGATAAGGGGTTGGGTTTTGTGAGGGGGTGAAGAAAGTGAAAGGAAGAGACGAAGCAACTGACGAAGGAGGATGACAGTAAGCGTAGTTGAATTAGTAACAAGAGAAACATTAGGTTCAAAAGTCTTAAATTTAAATTTTAGTAATATTATAAGGATAGGTGGTTAAAAATTTATTTTTCATGAATATCTTAGTTTTAGCGTGATTTGTGTAGAAGACATGCCTCTGACCACGCTAAAAAAAAAAATCGATGTACACATAAATTTGAGATTAGTTGATTATTAATTCTATATTTTTGTGGTTCGTTGGATTTATTTTCAAATTAATTTGTTATCAACACCGCCAAGTGGTAATTTTAAGAATTCCAGAAAGGTCAATGAAAAGGGTGGGTGGGAAAGTTCACAGAAGAGACCGAGCAATTGGTGAGAAGTGTCATCAATTAGTCAAGTGGTGTCATCAGTTCTCGCTCCTAATAATATTCTTATTTTATGTATTATTTATTCTTTCTTTTTTTATATTACAGTTAAGTGTGTTTATATCGATTTATGCGTATCTCAATTAATTCTCCCTATTCTAATAAAAAATAAATCATTCACATTAAGATTAGAGAATTTATAAAGAATAAATTTTTCATTAACTAAGACCTTAATTCCAAATGAAATGTTAATTTTCGAACTTATTTATTTAGTCATGTAAATTTTTACGTGAATATTTGAATCAACCCCAATATTGGGCCCAACAATATCCTGATTGGTTATTTAAATTTTATCATTTTATTTTGTATTCGAAAATTGATAAATTTAAATTTAAATTTTATCACTTTTAATCTTGTTATTTTTGTGTTATGTCCCTTCTAGTATATATTTCTGTGTACAAGATTTTAATGGAGGGGATAATTCAAGTGTATTTAAAAAAAAACGAAATAACCTAACCTTTTAGAACAAATTGGAAAATACTAATCACGTGGACAAATAGTGTTATGAATAAGTCTTATGACCGAAATAAAAATAAAATAAAATAAAATTGTTTGCAAAATTGAATTACATGACTTTTATATTATAAAAAAATACACGAGTCGTAATTAATTTATATGAATCATGTGGAACTAATATTAACGGTGGTAACCCTATTGGACCACAATATTTTTGTAAATTAATTTTTAAGATGGTAAGAATTCAACTCATTTTGAATTTTAAAATTTAACCTAATTTTTATGATGGAAATTAAAAAACAATTTTTTGATTTTATGAGTCAAACTAATTATTACAACAATATCCAAAAAACTGATTTTGATAGGGTCTGTACAACTAAGAATTTGAAATTAGTGATACCATGCACTAGAATGCACCTATTCGGTATCAAGAAAGTGTTTTTGCGCCATTGTAAGGAATCATTACTCAAATTTAGAAGCCAAAAAAGGATGAATTCGCAATCACAAGTGAGGTACTTGGAGACATCTCTTTCCAGAATTGAATAAAAATTCTGAATACAACACTATTTATGTTTGGCTCGCCCTCATAATAAATTCTAATTTGGTCCCTTCTCAAATTTTGTAATAACAAGAATTTCGTAATTACTCATCTCAGATATTTTTAACATTAATTTCACCTACATAAAGTTGCATGAAAGATTCGAGGCTTTCAAGATTAATGTTGCTGCAATAATTTCGTGGAAGTTGCATCATTTTCCTTCAAAATCTAAAGGATGAACAAAATTAAAAAAAAAATAAAAAATTAGGACATATTTCAAAGAGTGTTTAAAAATAGTATCCGGTCGTTGAGATAAATTTTTTGATAAGACTTGGATGATACTAAAAAGTAGTTCAATTCTCTTGGTGCAGACATTAAAACTTCATTTTGAATGGAGGTACAAAGTTTGACCGGTCCAAATTTATGGCATTAGTTAGATTTTTATACTAAAAAATAGTTATTTGCGCACCAATACTTCTATTTCATCTCACATAACATGTGACAAATTATCTTATAATATTGTCTTACTTTATTGTTTTCTCGATCCATTGTTATAAATAATACACATATACTGCGATGAAATGCTACTGTTTATCTATTTTGATTTATTATGATGATAATATTATGAAATATTAATTTGACCGAATCTAACAAACTGGTTGCATGGTATTAATGTTGAAAAAATCAGTGAGTGATATCAAAGGATAATGATTGTCTGTATAACACTGTGGATGCCTGATATTCATTCAGATCAAAATCTATCTACTTCAAAACCACCTTCCAGGTATTGTAGTTCTGTCATATACACTTAAAATCAAAATCAAACTTGACATAACATTCATATTTAGCAAGAAACATACACAAGGATCAAACCCCTTTATTTATTTCCAAACATTACAGTCTCCATAGCTAAAAGCAACACACATCAAACCCAACTCACCATACTCCCAACTTAACTCACAGGACAGGTAAACAGAACAGGAAACCAAACAACAAACGCGAAAAGACACGCACACACACACTGGTAAAAGAAAACACACTACTTATAGCCTACTTAACAGTGGCTATACCATGCCTCTAATTCTACATGGCATCAAGAACCATGTGAACAGGCAGTACTTGGACATGAAACCCTGTTGGATTCATGCTCAAAGTGTACACATGAAACCCAAATTAGATTCACGCACAAACTCCTTCACTAGTGCTTAGAAAAGGAGATTGAGTAGCATTTGGGCAAATCCAGCAGTTAACGATATCTCCTCCACAATTGCGAATAGGGAAGGAGATTTAAATGGCCATGTTTGGCCGCTCAAATGAAAAACATCTCATTCTTAATGTCTGGGTGCAGTTTGTAGAACCTCTCATCAAGTGAAGCAACAGAAACCGAAGATGATGATGAAACACGAGACTGTATCTCCATCACTACCTCTTGATATTCGCGTCCCCTGAACGCGACAAGATCAGCGTAGTAAACTGGAGGCACAATTGAGACAGGCTTGGTGCATCTTGCAAAGGTGAAGCACAAGTGATATATCAGCTTCTGTAACTCATCAGACGTAAAAGTATTCTCATCCCACAGGACACGGTAGTGCGTTGTCTTGCTTGTCCCAATGTTTCCATAGTGGCTGCACAGATAAAAATCAAATTCAAAAGGATGAACGATTGTTGTATCCACAACTGTTCCAGGAGGCACATTGTGGGATGCACCCCCGCCATTATCAAGAAACAGGCGGGTCGGGTGTCTCTTCTGGGCAATAACAAGAGTCATTGTTGGGTGGTAATCTTCAGTACATATGGCCCTCTTTATATCAAGTAACTCTTCATTGAGAACCATGTCGAATTGGCCTTCACTTACCCCATCCCGAAATATCACAATTTTCTTTGGCCTGGTTTTGTTAAGTCGAGCATAAGTATTGACTAGATCCAAACACATGTTCCCAAAATTCAGAATCTTCTCCTTGCGGTGATCCTGGGGACAAATCCTTGCAGCATAGCGATTGGCAGCAGGCCAGTTCATTGTTGCAACAACCGCTGCTATTGATGGACATGTCACATTTCGTGCAGCTGGATGATTGACATCAGCCCCGATAAACATAACATGTTCCTCACCTTCAGTACCGGGGAGCCGTTCAATTAGCTCTACATTGCTACCACCAAGCTTGGCATTAATCTTAAGAGCAAGGTTTGCAAGATACTGGTCAGTACAGAAACATTGAGTCAGTACCCCAATCTGAGTCTCGGAGACCCATTTAAGATATTTTCTGACAGGATTGTTTTTGGGTATCACACAAACAATAAGTTGCAACCGGCCCTTACACTTCCCCTTAGCCTCACTAACCACGCTTTCAAGAAGTTTCTGAATTTCAGTGACACTACAGAAATCAAGCCTGCCAGTAAAATGGCACACAACAGGCTCCTCCACACGGATGCCCAGATTTTTGCATCTATTTCTCAGATTCCCAATGAAAGTACAAGCATTCATTTTAGAAAATGAAATGAAATCGATCAAGGCCCATCGCTCGAGTGACTTGCCTTCCACCACAGATTTACCAGAGAGGTTCCACTGACATTTCTCCCTGTCAACTGTCACACTTTGACCATTGCCAACCTTCAAGTTAGGTGGCTTAATGACACGACCGGATACTTTTGTCATGGTCTTCTCAACTTCAATTCCAAAATTTTCAGCGACCTCTCTGCAAGAGGGGAAAAAAATGGATTGGCATCACTATGTCATTAAAAGGAAAATGAGTAACCCAAAGAAAGACAGTAAATCAAGAGACTAAAATTATGAAAACCATGAGACAACCCCACCATTCACACAAAAATAAGCAACTTCCATCAAATTAAAAACAAAATGCCAAGTAATTCCCAATTAATAGAGGTGATGCATACTAAACTTAGGTTCCTAAATGGTTGTGATAAACCTCCAGTAAGATTGCGAACTAGTCTGTCAATTAACTTACCAACAGCATATCATCTCCATCCATCCAGGTCCTAATTAATGATATTCCAGTGAAGAGTTCTAAAAACAAAATGAATATCCTCTCACCTCCTAAAATTTGGGGATTTCATTAGATAAATAATCAAGATTCAAAACTACAACAGTTTCTCCAAAGTTTTCTTGATGATATGCCATCAAATACTCAACAACCAGTAAAATGAACCACCCAGAAATTCCATTCCCAAAGTACTATTTGATCATCAGAAGGGGTAAGGGGTTTTTGGCCATTTATGGATGGGAGGAGGGGATTAGCTTTTCTTTTTCTTTTTTTTTTTTTATGGGGCAGGGGAACGGGGGCAACACTTCAGAATCAAAATGACTTGTAGTGTTATAATTACAAATAAAATGCACCACAAAAATGTTTGGCAAAATTTGCTCCATGGCTTCCACAAACAAAAGCAATCACCTGCCAACCATAAGGATTTCCAAACCAATGAAATTTGTCATGTAATCCGTGAGAATCAAGCATAATTTCGAAGAAAAAAACCACAACACATTATGCTACAACAATCATGTAAGAAAATGATTTAAAGAAATAATCAAACACTACAATAAATAAATAGGCTGAATAAATGTAGAGGCTAAGTAAAAATAGGTACCCGCAAGGTCCATCTTTTGCCCGCACCATCTCACAGATAGTTGTCTTTCTCTTCTCCGGCGGAGGCATTGATATGTCCTTCAGTAACCGACTTTTTTTGTCATCCAAGTCCTCCTTTGGGTATCTCTGCCCCTCAACCAAAGTACAAAATTCCATGGGCACATAATTCTCTCTCTCCAAATCTAAACAGGGAATATCCTTGTACATAATTTCCTTCCCATATTTCTCCCTGAAATATTCGACAAGGCCAATTTTCGTTGGTGGATTTCCCTCTGAATCTTCGAGAATGAATTTAATATCTCGTGTAATTGTTCTGGTTAACCCTGCTATCATGTACTTCTGTGGGGGGACGCGGTGAGTTACATCAACTTTCAGTCCTTCTAATGCACTTGCCACTTCATTTTCCAACCCTTTGACATCACTTACTTTTAGGAAATTCCGAACATGTTCCTTAAGGAAGTCTATGACTGGCAATCGTTTGTGCAATGCCAAAACTGAATAATCCAAACATAAGACTAGACCCTGTGAGGTGAGCATTAGGCTTAGTTCAAAGCCTCGAAAAGCAGCACTGCCACAATGGAGGTCATCTTCCACCCTGAATTCTTTCGAATAAAAGCGTCCACCAACATTGATCCTATGCCTCAAAGGATTCTCCTTCATTGCCAAATTCATCCCTTGTAATACATCGCGTGGGATACACTCAAGCTTCCCACTTACGTAATCCTCTAGATTTGAAAACTTTAGCTCATTTACAAACTGATATGTAAATAAATAGGGACGACTCTTCATCTCTTCTC